AAAAAAAATAAAGAAACAAGGAAGAAAATGGAAAGGGGAGTGGGGGGAGAAGAAGCTATCATAAGGAGGCATTTCTATGACAAGCGTTCCAGGAAAAAAATAGTAATAATAAAAAAGTACATTGTAAAGAGCAGAAGAGAGAATATATTGAACTTAATTCGAAATATATGTTGTCTTTCCAAGCATGGCCTCTAATGTTCCTGATGTTCCTGGGAAGAAATTGTCACTGAGCGTCGCCGTGGCCGCTTGATTTGGTTCCCTCTCTCCAGAAAACAAATCGTTTCCTACCAGCTCCGAAAGCGGTTTCCCTCCTGCCCCGGGAGCGCCGACCTTCTCCCACTCCGCTGGTCCTCGGGGCCTGGGGGCAAAATTAAATAATAATAATAATAATAATAATAATAATAATAATAATAATAATAATAATAATAATAATAATAATAATAATAATAATAATAATGGTTTGAGGGATGCTGATTGCTGCTAAGCGATCAATATTTCAAAAGATTCCTGAAATGGGCTTCAAGTTGCTGTCCTGACCTACAAATGACTTCTCACTCCCCGCGACGATTCTCGGCGTCTATTCAGGGCCAGTCAGCCGAAAACAATAAGGTCTTAAATGCTGAAAGAAATACATACACACACACATAGATATATATATATATATATACACACACACTCATACTCACACACACATATATAAATACACACATGCACACATATRTATATCTATATTCAAGTAGGTGTTTATGTGTGCGTATGTATGTATATATAGGAAGCTTTAGTTGGACAGAGAAGGGCGCCGAGCCCTTTACAGTTAATTGCTCCCATCAGAGATGGGAAGTCACCTATACGGGAGAAGGGGGGAATTATCCTGACGCCCTCCAGCTGCATCCCGCTGCCAGRGCCCCCCAGCCCCGGCTCATCCCGTTTCCCGCCGCATTCCCGGGCCGCTCCCGAACCGCGGAGGGTGCCGCGCAGCCCCGGGGCGGGGGGCGCGGGGGGGCGGCGGGCGCTGTCGAGGCCGGGGAGGTGCTGAAGGCTCCGCGCTGCCTCCCGCTCCCTCCCTGACGGGCGGCGGGTGACAGTGAGTGACAGCGCCGGCCATGGAAACGCGGCAGCCAATCTGCCGGGCGCCGCGGCCGCGGTTCCACCGCAGCCCTCTGCTTCCCCCGCGGTTTCTTTCCCTCCCTCCCGTGCCCTCCCTCTCGGCCCCCGCTCCCCCCCCTCCTCCTTCCTCCGCTCCATCCTCCTCCTCCCCGTCCCGCCCGCCGCCCGCAGTCGCCGGAGCCGCCGCGCGCTGCCCGTCGCCTGCGCGTCCCTCCCGCGGCAGCTCCGCGGGCGCGGGCGGAGGCAGAAGCGGCCGCCGGCGCCGCCGCCCGCTCGGGACGGGCTGTGCGCGCAGCGCGGAGCCGCCTCCATGTTCCAGCTGCCCATCCTCAACTTCAGCCCGCAGCAGGTGGCCGGGGTCTGCGAGACCCTGGAGGAGAGCGGCGATGTCGAGCGCCTCGGTCGCTTCCTCTGGTCGCTGCCCGTGGCCCCCGCGGCGTGCGAGGCCCTCAACAAGAACGAGTCGGTGCTGCGGGCCCGCGCCATCGTGGCCTTCCACTCGGGCAGCTACCGGGAGCTCTACCACATCCTGGAGAACCACAAGTTCACCAAGGAGTCCCACGGCAAACTGCAGGCGCTGTGGCTCGAGGCGCACTACCAGGAGGCCGAGAAGCTGCGGGGCCGGCCCCTGGGGCCCGTGGACAAGTACCGCGTGAGGAAGAAGTTCCCGCTGCCGCGCACCATCTGGGACGGCGAGCAGAAGACACACTGCTTCAAGGAGCGCACGAGGCACTTGCTGCGCGAGTGGTACCTGCAGGACCCTTACCCCAACCCTAGCAAAAAGCGGGAACTGGCGCAGGCCACGGGACTAACCCCCACGCAAGTGGGCAACTGGTTCAAAAACCGCAGGCAAAGGGACAGGGCGGCAGCGGCCAAGAACAGGTAGGTGCCGCCCGGCCCGTGGGCGCTGCAGCGAGCGCYGCTTCGGGGCCAGGAGCCACCCCCGGGGCGGGCAGCCGGTTCGGTTGAGTTAGGAGCTGGGGGGAAAGGGAGGGAAAAAAAGGGGGTTAAGAGAAGATACACCCAGCTTTTCTTTTATTGTAAGGGATCAGTGCTCTGCTCGGGGGAGCGCTGAGGGCAGAGAGTGGCCGGCCCCCCCGGCTGCAGCGACCCCGAAAAGATGCGGAGGGAAAAGGGCCGCATGGGCGGCTAAGCAGGACTAGAAAAAAAAAAAATTAAGTTTTTAAAAAAAAAGCAAAAAGTGCCCAGTCCTACCCGGACACAGAGACACCCATTGCACGTCCTCGGGGCTGGAGCCGGCTCGGKGCACTGCCGCCTGGCATTAGCTCACCGGCGGGTCTCAAGCACATTTTAGGGGATATTTTTCTTTCTCTCCATTTCATATATTTTTTTAATTTTGTCTCATTTTTTTCCTGCTTTGTTCTGTTCGCACGAGCAAACCCGCGGCCACTGAGCAGCGGGCGCCGCGGCCGCGCCGGGCCCGGGCGCTCGGGGGCAGCGGCTCGCGAGGAGGCTGAGGCCGTGGGGGCCTCCGGAGTCCCCGGGGCGGGCGGGCGGGGGCGCAGGGGGGGCTCCGCGGTGCTCAGTGTGCCCCTTCCTTGCAGGCTGCAGCAGCAGGTGCTAGCGCAGGGCTCGGGCCGCTCGCTGCAGGCGGAGGACGAGAGCGGCGGGGAGGCGCTGGGGGCGGCCGCCAGCCCCGCCAGCCTCTCCAGCAAAGCGGCCACCTCCGCGATCTCCATCACGTCCAGCGACAGTGAATGTGACATCTGAGGCGAGCGCCGCTGCCAGAGACGCGGGGCCGCGCGGTGCTGCCCGCGGCGCCCCGAGCGCGGCCCGGACACGCGCCGACCCCGCCGGCCCGCGGAGACCGCGCTAACAAACGGAAACAAAAACACAAACGGAAAAGTAAAGAAGACGAAGAGGAAATGATAAAAATCGTTGTCGCCTTTATTTCTACCGGATTTGCGGAATTGATGTCGCAGAAAAAAAAAAAAAAAAAAAAAAAAGAAAAAAGAGAAGAAATCAAGCGAAACAAAAAACACACACAACGAATGCCAAGTTGCAAAATGTCTGAGCGCCTTCCCTCATCCCGCGGGGGTGTTTCCTGCCGAGAAGATGCAGTCCTTTTGGTTGGGTTTTGCTTTACTTTAAAGGGTTTTATATACATATATATATATATAATGTTTATTTACTTATTTAAGGGATTGCTATGGTAGATTTTTTTCTATTATTATCATTAATTATTTTTTTTTCTTTTGCTTGTTCTCTGTGTGCACAGGTGACTTGTAGAGCATGTGCAGGACGAAACTGTATGAAGCAGCCTAAAAGCATAATAAAATATTTGGTGAACGACCTTCGGATCTGCTTTGCAATGACAGTGCCGCCCACCAGCTTGGGCAGAGCCGCTCGCCGAGGCCCSGGGCTTCCCACGTTTGGCTTGGCAGGAACCGAAATAACCGTGGGACCGGGCCGGGAATTCGGGCTTGGAGAGGGAGGGAACCGGGAGAAGCCGCGGCCGGCGATGCATAAAGGGTGCACAGGGAAGAGAAGGAATCGGGCAGCAGAAAAGAAAGGAGCCGCTGCGTCCATTCCTGGGATCCTCCTTAGAAATTCCAAGGCTGGGGATCCTTGGAAATTATCAGGGAGGCTCTGCGGGGAGACAGGAGAAGAAAAGGGTGAGAGAATTGCACGGGCACAGCCAGGGCGGCGAGGCCGAGCTCGTTTCCTCCGCGACCTGCTGGATGCCAAGGGATGATGTCGGGGAATTTGGAGCCCCCCATGCCTGAGAAGGGCCGGTTGGGGCGGCGAAATAAGCCCAAATCTCGGCCCCCGCCCTGGGGGCAGCGGCAGGACCCGCGGCGCTGCCCGGCTCTGCAGCGGCTTCGCTGCAGGAGCCCAAATGCCAGCTCGAAGGAGCGCGCTAAGCTTTTATTTTTTTTTCCCCTAGCAGAAGGATTTTATATTATACAATTTGACATTGATCTTTAAATCGCCTGAGCTGTGCTTTTTTTGTCTGCTCGGTCTCGTTGCATTTGCTTCGCTGTCCTCAGAGAGAGCTGCCTCCGCAGTAAGCTGATTTCTCGGCTCCTTTTAGCAGGGCAAGGGCACGGGGAAGCCTCGCRGCCCTGGAAGGGCTGCAGAGACCCCGCTGCGGGAAATGCCCCGCTCCGCAGCGCCGGGAGCCGCCGGGATGGCGCAGGGATGGGCAGGGGGCAAAGGGGCCGCGGCCCTTTCAGCTCCGTTAATCGATGAATTACGGCCAGCCTGGAAGGAAATGTTTTCCTGATTTTTTTTTTTCCTTTTCCGCTGTTTGCATTTGAAGCCTAAAATACTCCATCTCTGCTGCTCCAACCCGCATTTGACCATGATTTTTTTTTCTCTCGCAGAGCAGCAGAGGGACTGTGCAGGGAGCAGGTATTTAACAGTAATGGCTTATATATATATATTGAGTCTGTTTAGGGAATACTACGTCTCCAGTGGGGAATATCTCACAGTGTCGGGAAAGGGGAAATGCGGGAGCGGAAAATGCCTGTTTTACGCGAGCGGGCTCAGCCGGAGGAGGCAGGGAAGACGCTTTCCACCTCGGGGCCTCCCCGCTCCCTTTGCGAGCACCCAAATCTCCTCTTTTCTCTATCGCCAGAGCTGCTGCCTTTCAATCCCACGGGCTTCGGCTCCMTAACCCCGCTCCGCGTCTTCGTTTTCCAGGACACAGAGAAATCGGGATCTGAATACAGGCAAATTCAAGACCTCCTAATTCCGTTCCTTTCCCAAGAAATGCTGTGCCGCATTGAACTGTCTCTATTGCCATTTCCGCGGGCTTAGAAACTGCCGTTTATTCTTAGGGAATTGAGGCGTTCGGGAAAGGACTTGTAAAGAGGTAGATAATTATATGAACTCATATATCCAGCCTCTAGAAATAATAAGGAATTTCTTTCTAAGCAAATTCTAAGCTATTCTAAGCAAATAGCTTGGGCAATGGGAGAAAGCGGGCATGATGTTGTTTATTTCAACAGCGTGTTTAAATCGCGTTTTTCTAAGACTTCCAGGGGCGCTATTCGGGCAACTACCTGCATCGAACAAAAAAAAAAAAAAAAAANNAGAGGGAAAAAAAAGAGGGGAGAAGAAAGGGAAAAAAAAAGAAAAGAAAAAGCCATTTACTATTTTGAAATGGTGGAAATGACTGGGAAGGGAAAGCAAAGCAGAGTGACCCCGACAAGAGCCGGGGCCGGGCCAGGACTGAGGAACATCGCGGCGGGGGAGTGTCAGTAAGACCTTTGGAGAAAGAAAAATGGCTTTTTTTCCACTCCTTTCCCCCCCCCCTTCCTTCCTTCCTTCCTTCCTTCCTTCCTTCCTTCCCCCCCCCCCCCATTCTCTCTGTCTTTTCCCTTTTCACGTTTTTCATTTTTCTTTCTTTTTCCTTTTTTTTATTTTTAAGTTGATTTTTTTAAATGGCCCTCCATAGCCTTCAGCTGCTTTAATAATAATAATAATAATGGGATAGACCTTGTATTTACATTAAACAAAACGCTTGGAGGAAAAAAAAAAGAAAAAAAAAAAAAAAAGGTCGCTAAAAAGTCTGCCTTGACCCCTCTCTCTCTGCCTTAACAAAGAAGGAAAAAATATTGTATCAAAAGTGAAGTGAATGGGGAGGGTGGAGGAGAGAAGCAGCTTTCCCTCTATTCAGCAGGGGACGGGGTAGGGGGAGAAGAAATGTTTGAATATTTCCGTTTCTATTGAGGAGCGGGGCGGCCCCGGGCAGGCCTGAATGGGCAAGTCTTGTAAGCGGCCTGGGAGGCTGTCAAACTGCTCAGAGTAATCAGTGCTAATGAAGGGGGCTCCGGCCCTCCCTGGCACAAAGGCTGCCTCCGAGTGCTCGCCGGGCCTGAATAGCTAATAAGTTTGCAAAGCGGGGGAGAGGAGCGAGCAGGCCGCAAATTGAGTTTGCAAAAGGAAAATAATCATCAAAAAAAAAAAAAAAAAAGGGTTGGGTGAAAAAAAAAAAAGCTAAAAAAAGCTTTCAGGTTGGGGTGAACCTGGCCCTGGTGCAGCTGGGGACAAGAGGACAGAGGGTCCCTGCTCATGCGGGCCCGTTGTGCTGCAGAAGAAGGATGCCAGTGTTGCCCGTGGAAAGAGCCACGGAGGTTTCCAGGATTAGGAGCTTGTGGAGGCCTTGGGAAGACCCCGGGGCTCTGCCCCATGGCTCCCTGCAGGTTGCATCCACGCTGCTCCCGCACAAGGGAGCAACTGCTCCCTGACTGCTCTGCCTGCCGCCTTTTGCCCGACTGCAGCGTTTYCTTTGTGAAACAACAACAAAAAAGRGTGGATGCCTGGATATTGGRTATTTCCCCCCAGCCGCCTGGGCTGCGAGGGCTCCCTTGCAAAGGGCCTTCCTTGGCTGCTGTCCTGGGATTTGGCTCGCGCCGAGGCTGCAGCGGAGCTGGGTTCACCAGCGAGCGTCCTTGTGTGACAAGACGATGGAGAATCTCATGGCAGGGAGGTGGAGCACGGGAGCGATTCGCGTTTTGGACCTTTCACGCATCCAATTAAAGGCTTGGGAGGATCAGAGACGATCTCAGATCCAGTTACCCCTGGCTCAGAGGGGTAATACCGTGAGAGAGAGCATAATACTCCCCAGCRTGGGCTGTACCTGCCTCTCCATCACATCTTACATTGCCTTCATATATTCTACATAGTAAATATATATATACACATCTAAAATAGATATAAAATGTCTATATGTATGTATTCTTATTTATTTATTTTCCAGAAGAATATCCGAATGCATTTGCTGGATGGGAGGGTAGAGGGGTGGGAAACCAAAGGGAAAGGGCCSTGTGGGCTGTAGAGGGACACAAGGCTTTGACGTGTGTCTCGTGTCCTCACCTGCCTCCCGCGCAGCCCCTGAACCCGGGAAGGAACCTGAATCCTGGGCTGACCTTGCGGTGCCCTCCCTCTCCCCAGGGRTGTCCCTGGAGGGCAAAAGCTAACTGGGAATCAAGGGAAGAATCATCTGAGATCCCCCGAGGGATACAGCACTTCGCACTTTATCCTYGGCATTGGAGGGGGGATGGATGAAGCCCTTTCCTTTTTCTGCCTTTTCTTTCCCAGAACTGGCTCTAAGACCTCCAGCCTAAGTCCAGCAAATGCTCCCCCACCCCCTTCACCAATTGCTTTATTCAGCCTAAATCCCCCAAAATGCAGAAACTCCTCAGGGAACCCATTCAAACCCCAACCACTCTCTGATCTGTCACCCCCAGACCCTGTCACCTCCTCTGTGAAACAGACACATCTTCCSCTCAGGAAATATAGTTGGGGGGAAGTTTACGATTTCAACCTGGTAAGTGCCAAGTAGGAACCTTGTAAGGCCAGTCTATCTGTCCTTCCAGCTGCTCCAAGGGCCCTAACTTCATTAGACACCTTGATATCAGAGATCAGAGGAGGATCTTGTGCCATCCTCATGCCTTGCTGGGCAGTCCACCCCAGGGCATCAGCCCTCAGCACCTGCTTGCACYGTCTTTGTCACAGAAAGCCTAAAATTGGTGCCCATTTGCCCAACGCTCCCTCCTCCGAGCTTCCTCTTGCAGCCCACAAAGTAAAACCCAAGGCGAGGTTCGACCACAGTGCGATGTGACACGTCCCTGCTGGCRCAGGTGTAACTGATGTAATAACTTATCCGGTTATTACACCTAAACCACTGGTGCGTTCCCCATCACAAGGGTTAGACAAGTCACCCTGGGATCAGAAGTTCTCCAGGGCTCCAGCACGAGGTG